ATTACATATATACATATATGTAATTGTAAACGATAAAGAATAGCGGTTCTGTAATAATTCTTAAGTAGTTATATGCACATATATTTTACTGTGTTGATATAACGTGTTCATAGAAAATCGCGAATACGACTGTACTACTGTTAATGACAAGACCTATATCAAAGAAAAGAAAAAAAATTACAATTTCATTAGAAATCAAATTATTCTTGATTTCTTTCTATCATTGTCGTATATCATCTTATATTATAGGCGAATTCTTCTTCGCAATACATTGCGTATTAATGTGTCAACAGATTGTAAGTACTATTTTTAAGAAAGTGTCGAAGGCTTATTGGTCATTATAACATGTTTTTCAGTTCATATGATGACAAATTTTTTTTTAATTTTTTCAAAAAGAAAAAAAAATATATTAAAATTATTTTGTTAAATTTCGTTAATGTTATGTTTTTTATGTTATAATATTATGTTAATATTATAAATATAATTAATTAAATATATTAGAGAAATTGGGACAGCAATTACTATTTAAATAAAAATATAATATATATAATTGGTATATTGAACATTGTAAAAGATAAAATAATTAAAAATATTCTTGTTAGAAAAATAAAACATTATTAATTATTTTTTTGATATTATTCTATATAAAAAAGAATAATTAAATTTGTGATTGTATTTTTTTGGAAATTAAATTATTCTCTACCCAGTTTCTCAATGTTATATTAATATAAATATTTGAAATAATTTTAAGAGATATTTGCATGACTTAAATAGAGATTTAAGGGTGAATTTTTTTATAAAAGTAATTTTGTATCGCTCCGATGTTAAATTAAAATATTTAATTACTTGAAGGAATTTCTATTACGTTTTCATAAGTGATTTTTACATTCGATATTTTTTTAGCATCATTCAAAATTTATATTCATAAATTATATATTCATTTATATTTTAGCAATATTGGAGCAAATAAAATTTCTTCTACAAATTACGCAAATAATTATGAACATTTTTTTTTTTATATTCTTCAATTATACTGCCTTGTTCTAAACTTATTCTAAATTTAATTAATAAATTGCATGGCAGTATCGTAAAAAAAAAAATAAATAAATAAATAAATAAATAAAATTATTTTTTCGATATGTTGTATTATTTTTCCTAAGCATTGTTATATTTATATCAATATTATTTAAAAATTATTTAACGACATTATAATTTTTATGTTTATTATCGTGAGACTACTATAAGACATGTAAATAAAAAAAAGATACATAAAAATAATAAAATAATATCAATATATTATATTAAAAAGAATAGAAAAGAATTATATTTATTATTTAAAAAAAATTATATGATTAGATTAAAATTTTTCTATATTTATTTTCTAAAGAATTATGTTATAGAAACATTAAAAATTATAAGAATATAGTCATTATTATATAGTCTTATTACTATTTTGAACAATTTTTTTTTTAATGAAAGAAAATATTTTTGAACAATTGTATGTTAGGATTTTCATTTCTGAACTTAATTTTTATAATAATCTTTATTTATATTACAATATTTATATACTGTAGAGAGAAAGAATACTGGATATCATACCCATACTGGAGAGGGAAGAAATATTTATTAAAGAGATAATATTAACTATATAATTATATTATTGTAATTATACTAGGTGTCTCA